GGTCTTCTGCCCATTTTTGGGTTGGGTTGTTTATTTTTTTCTTATTGAGTTGTATGAGCTGCTTATATATTCTGGAGATCAAGCCTTTGTCGGTTTCACTTGCAAAAATTTTCTCCCATTCCGTAGGTTTTCTTCTTGTTTTACTTCTGGTTTCCTTTGCTGTGCAGAACATTCTTCTGTATTTTCAATGAGCGTATTTATGACTATTACTTTGAACTTTTTGTCTGGTAAACTGCTTATCTTTATTTCATTTAGTTCTTTTTCTGAGGTTTGACTTGTTCTTTTGTGTGGAAGATGCTCCTTTGGTCACCAGAGCCAGATGCTCTGGGAGTAGCCCCTGTGTGGGGTGCATGTGCCCTCCTGTTGTAGTTGGGCTGTGATTGCTGCAGGCAGGCTGAAAGGGTGTGGTGTTCTTGGCCTGGCCAGCTGAGAGGTCTGGCCAAAACTGCTATAGATGTGCTGATATATGGGGCTGGCTTCCAACAAGACTGGCTGCCAGCTCTGGCTGCAGCTTTTGTGGGTGTGCTGGTTTGCAGGGCTGGCCCCCCAGAACAGGAGCCGTTTTGGAGGGGTGCAGGGGGAGGCCACCTATTGGGTGGGATGGGACAGGAGCTACTTTGGAGGGGCCAGCTGGGTTGGATGGATTGGCTATGTTGGGCTGTTTCTCAGGGGAATGCAGGGATGGGGCACATGATGTTAGTAGGTTGATAGAGAACGACAGAAATGGCGTCAGGTGCCAGGTAGGTGGAAAGAGAGTTTAAAAAACAAAAAGCAAAACAAACAAACAAACAAACAAAAGCTCTGCCAGTGCATCTGTCCCTGAGAAAGTTCTGTCAGATTTCTGCTCATCCAGCGCATGCTCCCAAATTAGTGAATCTCCTTCTTGTATTGTCCAGGCACTTTCCAAGCTATCGCCTCTGTGCTTGAGCTCAGAGGGAGTCAGTTTGTGCAGGAGCTCCTCAAGAGTGGAGTCCTGGTTGTCCACAGCCCTCCAGCTCTCCCAGGTGAATGCCCTACTGGTTTTTAAAGCCAGATGTGCTGGGGCTCCTCTTCCCAGGGCATGTCCCCCAGGCTGAAGAGTCCATTGTGGGGCTCAGACTCCTAGCCCCTCAGGGGGAGCTTCATGGTTGTGATAGCCTTCCTGCTGGCGGATTGCTGCATTCAGGGTATGGGTTCTGACTAGACTGCATCTCTGTCCCTCCTACCTGTCTCAATCTGACCTTTTCTTTATATCTTTAGTTGTAGAAAATCTGTTCTGCCAATTTTTAAGTTGTTCTTAGAGGTAGTTTTATATACAGTCACATTTTTGGTTTTTCATAGGAGGGATGAGCTCAGGATGTACCTACTTGGCCATCTTGATTTGGACTCTCAGGAGAAGTCCTATTATGATAATCTCTCATTGCTCTCCCTGTCTCTAGTCAGTCTATGTTTAGTTACATCTATCCTTTGTACCTGTAGTATTTAACATGTTCCCAGAATCCTCTAACAATTCTTGTCTAGCCAACTTTTAAATTTTATTCTAATATTCTATATAATATGTTCTTTGTATAAGAAATACCAGGCTACTTGCCTGTTTCTGGATATATCTTGAGCCTTTCTACATTTTTTTCTTATCTAAAACTATATCCTATATCCTTGTTTGCTATAATAATATTTAGGGTTCATAGTTCAAATGTCTTTTTCTTAAAAGACTTCCTTAAAAACTTTATTCTGAATTATTTTCTCTTTATATATGGTCCTTGGCTTTATGTGCCTGTAGAAATTCTGTGCTCATAAAGTTGTTGATGTTCACGTTGGTCTTTCCGTCTAGTCTGTAAACCCTTTCCTCTAATTTTTTTCTCCTAGCATGTGAAAGTCACGTCTGGCAGAGATCTTCAGCAAGTCATCTTAGAGCAGTGCTACAATTTTGTTTGTGTGAATGTAAGTAGTAAATACAAATGATTGAAAGCAGTTGAGGATTTGTATAAATGTAATGTGGAAGAGAACTTAGTCTTCTTGATTATTAAATATTTGAATTTAAGATTTTGATAGGTGGGTTGTGTTACTTACTATGTATTTGAAAATGTTATTTTTTATCTTTTGAAATAGGGAAACAACATTTTCTAACAAGCCAATTCCCATAATAAGAAGAGGATGGTATTTCTTTAGACAGTAATTTCAATTTTCGGTATAAAGCAGATAGGATGACACAGGTTTGGATTAACAAATAGTTTAAATTTTAATCTTGTGGGTATCCTTTAAAATTGTTTGAAAATTCAAAATAAAGTTTGAGAAATATTTTGAATGTTTATGTAAAAGCTCTCCAGTTTTCTCCATGAATTAATGGTTAAGTCATTTAAGAATTTCTTTTCCCTTTTCTGGTCTTGCAGGTTATGACCTCTGATTTTGAAAAAACCCAGAAATTACTGAATGTGCTTGATGAGAGTAATCTTTCCATTTTATATCCTGTTGTTGTTATTTCGGTAAGTGAATTAATGCAGACTTTTAAAACTTAAGCTTTAATCCTTGAAATTTAACTTTTCTGTTTTACAAAATTTCATCCAACTGGGAAAATCTATCCAAACTCAAAAGAAGAAGCTCTGCTTTGTGGATTCTTGACCTTTCTTGCTCTGACTTCTCTGACTGTGTGCCCTATTACTGCAGCTATCTGGTTGAATTGACAGGTTTGAAAAATAATTTAATTCAACCCAGTGAACCATTGCATTTATTTTCCTTCATTAGAATTGCAGAGTGTATTGCTGAGTTGACTAATTGTTTAGATAATGTGATTTTCATATGTTACCAAAATGCCATTAGAGAAGAGATTCCAAAGTTAAAAGAATAAGGGGGAGGAAATCAGATGGAAGAAAATGCTATTTGATTGTTTCATCTTTGTTTCACGAATAGCAAAAGTAGAGTGAGCAACACATGAAAATGAAGTCCTAGAAAAATGCCCCATGAAAATTTGGGAGAAATCTTTTCTGTGAAATACTAGAAGTGTATGTTCAGTACAGAATGTACTTGATCGGCATACTAGCCTGTGTCGCAGAGGGGAATTTCAGAGGCCAGGCCTTACAAACCAGCTGAAGAGGAGAATCTGTAGTCTGCCACATTTTGCTGTGGGAAGGGGTTTCAAACATGAACTTCTCAAAACAGTGGCTTAGCAATTGCCAAATTCCTAAAGGTCAGTCCCACACTGTGGGAATTTAATTCTTGTTAGGTAAGATTATTAATACAGAATAAAGATAATTTGCACTAAAACTAAGTACTCTAGACTGAGCCATGCAAGTAGAAACAAATTAGCAATTGAAGGTTTGGTTACCTCACTGGCCTATTGTATTTGGTTTTATGCCCTGAAGATAAGTTCCATGGGTGTTGCTGATCTTGGAAACCCAAATTCCTCATGTGACAGATTTTAATAGAAATACAGATGTTTTCATAGAGATTTTTTTTTAGGAACATCGTGAAATGTCTTCAAATGCTGGGGGGCTCTAAGGCTCTATAGGATGGACTTAAATTCAGTGTTTGATTTGACCTCTGTTCCTCTCTCCATATTAACTGGATGTGTTCCTAGACACTATTCTGAAGAGGCAGTACATTACTGTGATGACAGCAAGAGCTTTGAACTCAAAATGCCTTTGTTCCTTGGTCAGATTATTGAACTTTTCTGAGGTTTGCTTTCCTCCTTTTAGAAATGAGGCTAGTAATCCCACTAAGGATTAAAACCACTGAATGTAAAGTGTAGTTGACATTACAGTGCAGGGCCCTGGGCAGCTTTGCGATGTTAGTATCATTTAAAAATCTAGCTCCTCTCCTTTCCAGTTTGGGTGAGATGACTCAAATTTCACTTCTGCTGCTCTAATCTGATTCCTGGGCTCCAGTCACGAATTGTTCAGCATTGTATTAGGTACTTCCATTTGAGTACGTGACTATCTTCTCACACCTAGCATATCAGATCTGTCACAGAAGCACATTCTCCAGTAATAGTTGTGGCAGGCACCCAGGGGTGATGTGTGTCAGCTTTGAATTTTCCTTCTGCCTCTTTCCTCTGCCTCTGTTCATCAAATACACACACACACACACACACACACACACACACACACACACACTCACACAGAAAGAGAATTTTTAAACACCTACTTCTTGTATTTTATTGGTAGTATTGTATCTCACCCACAGTCCTTTGTATTGCTTCCATAGATTTTTGACTTTAATTTTCTATTGACTTGTGTTGAATTGCATTTCATGTATCCCAGTAAATTTGAGGGTTTTTTGTTTGTTTGTTTTTGTTTTATTTTTTGGCTACTTAGTACTCTGTATCAAACAAAGGGAAAAGATGGACAATACTCTACTTAGGAAGGAAATGTCTACTAGAACTGGTTGAAGGATAGTATTATTATAAGTCTTCATACTATGTCAGTATGCTGTAAAAACTATAAAATAATTACTTTAAATTGGAGAGTTGTCACTCCATAGATACGTGTTTACCCATTCTTTTCCTATTGCATAGGTAGACTCAGTATAGTGATATTAAGGTTATTTTTGAGCTTAGTGGGAAATTTCATTAGAACATCCCCAGAATCTGTATCCTTGGGATGGAACCACCAATCACTGAAAAGGTAGAGTAAAGAATGTTGCCTTCTTGGATTGAAAGTCAAGTAAATTTTCCTTGGATTTTTCAGTTGTCCTGTAAATGGTTGTGTGAGGGCTTCATCTTTTTTCCTTCCGATGCTGGTTTACTCTCAAATGGCCAAAAGGCCATTTCAGTTTCCCTGTGACTTAAAATTTGACAGAGCCATTCAAATATTCCCCAAATAAATAGTTGTCTGGAAAATATTATGATAATTGTAAAATAAAAGACTTAAATTTGAGTCTAGTTATCTGGGGACACAATTTTCACATTAGTAAGTGGGAAAAATATATGCACATATATGCATACAGTGTGGGGTATGTAAGTGTGAATACATTTGCAGACATATATACATATGTATGTAATTTAAAAGACATTATTATATGTACCAGACAGCTTAGAGGCTGTGGTGCGTCTACTTTGCTTCTATCTGAATTACTTTGTGGAAGATTAAATCAAGACAAAAGGACCCTACCATAGGGAGTTTTTTTTTTTAAATAAGGCTTTTGTTAAGCACTTTCCAAAGTGAAATGAGTTAGGAAATATTTAATGTAGAAGGTTTTTGTTACCTACGATAAATTGGCATAGATTAAGAGGCTACAGCTTTAGCATGCATGTAAAGAAAGGAACAAAATTTTACCATGAAGCATAAGAAAAATAATTGGGGCTTTATATTAAAAGAACAGAAATATTTATTAAAATAGTTTTATTTTATCTTCTATTTAAAACATAGGTTATGTTTGCAAAAATAAACTTCTGAATAATCTTGTAGACGTTTATATGATATTAAGCTGTGACATGCCTCATTTCAAGTGGCCACTTTGCAAAAATATTTTTAGATTTTTTTATTTTGTAAAAAAATTCTCTATTAATGCTTTGTTCAAAATATCCTTTTGGATCAACTATTTGGTCATCATTCTTATTCTCTTTTTATATATTTTAAATAGTTTAATTTGCCCAGATTTTTATTCATCGATGATGTGAAGTATGATTTAAGGATTTTACCAGTGTTAATTTGATCAGCTTAAAATATTTTATATTTTGGTAGCTATAACTTAACTGTAATTATATTGAATTAGCAGAATCTTCCATATTTCTACAGTCATTTAGACCCTGACTGATGGTAAAGAGGTGTTAACGTTAAAGTGGGCAGAGATAGTTGGTGGGGTCACTTTTGAAGTACTCTGTTTCTCAGTGAATCTGTGTGTGTTAGGATGACGTTTGTTACCCTATGCAGTCTTTTAACTGTGAGCCTTTGGGAACACATCCTTGGATAGCAGGCACACCTTGTGCTAGACTACTCTCTACTTGGGGAAAAAAGAACAAAACAGTCTTTTGAAAATCAAACTGGTTGTCATGAGGGAATTAAAAAAAATTTAGATCCCTTTCTGTGTCTTTTAAGGAAAAAACCCTTTTATAAACATTAAAAACTGATGCTCTCTTTTGTAAAGTTGTGTAGGGATTATGTTTGAGTCCTTCTCAGATGTGATTTCTGATGCTGTTCAGGCTGTTTTATAAGTTATCAAGGACCCATGTTTTTATCCTGAGCTGACTGAAGCTTTTGTTACCCTCCCTTTGTTGAGATTACCAGGGGGTATGTAGTACTGCTAGCACCTTTTTCTGATTGCAGCTGTCAAGCGGATCATCTGAAAGCTCTTCTTGGAATCACTTGATGCAGTACCTATCAACATTGGACATGTCCATTTCTGTTTTCTACTCCTATTATGTGTTTTTGTTTACAACTTAAGTAATGACGAACGATATTTAGAAAAAGTAGTATTTTAAATGTATTGAAATAGTAAAAGGTAAATTCATAAAATTTCTGATACAAAAAAACATAGGCTTTTACTTATATTATACAAGACACAAAAGTGCTAAGAGTCTGAATCGTAGGCTGAGTTCTTTGCTTAGAAATTAACCATCAGAGAGGTGTTTTCCCCCAGCAATAGAGAAGAGTGTTTCAGGAGACAAAACTAACTGTAGCTGTTTTCCATCCAAGATTAGGCAAAAACCAGTTGTAAAACTGTAAAAAATAAAAAAACAAAAATACTTTCTAGATCCAGAAAATAAGATAGAGATTCTAATTTTGGGGGATCTTGCAAGATTTCCAAAAGATATCCTTTAGTACTACTGTCAGATGAGATAATAGACGTTATATTCTTATTTACTCAATGAGTATAGCTGATTCATATAATAGGTACCAAAGAAATGTTTAACTTTGAAAAGCAGAAAGAAATTGGCCATGAATCTAAGTAGAAGTTAAAAATTGAGAAATGAAGCATACTCTTTAATTTGACTTGATAAAAATAGTTTATCACTTTCCATGGTACAATAATTTCACAGTAATTGTCTGGAAAATTACTCTAGAGCTCGACTTTCTTCTGACAGTGTAGACTAATTTTATTGGTGCTGTATGAGAGATAGGAATCTTTTCATGAATTTACTTTAGCAAAAAATGTAAATTCCCATATGGAATTTTAATGCTTTGAAAAACATAAATAAAACTTCAGAAGTGCCTAATTTAGTTCTAGTTACCAGGAAGTAGTTTATTGACATAGCAGATCAGAATACATGATCTTTAAAATGCTTCAAAATGTTTAATATTTGAACATGTCAGCAAATAAAAAAATAGAAGCCCACCACCCATTGACACTTGATACTTCACATCTGGGGAAACTGTCACAGAGACGTAAATTGCTTCCAGAAGGTTCCACAGCTCACCAGTGGCCGAGCCAGAATCAATCCAATGTGCAGTTTAGCATATACACTTGTTACTTTTATGCTCTCATGAGTGTGTTAAATAATATGGAAAAAGATTAAAAATATACATATACACATATATATGTGTTTAAT